TATTTAGAAGTATGTAATTTAATTTCCAAACACTTGGGTTTTTTCATCAAAAAAATCTTTCTAGTATTGCATTCCAGATTAATTCCATTGTGGTCAGAGAAAAATTATTTCAAATAATATAATCCATATTTTTGAATGTTCCATGTGCAATTAAAACAAATTAATATTCTTTTGTTGTTGGATGCAGAGCTCTATATAAGTCAATTAAGGTAAGCCAAGAAATCATTTTTGCTCCAAGTCTTCAATAGCCCTAATTTTCTGTCTACTTGTTCTATCAATTAGTGCTAAAGGAGGACTGAAATTCTCAACTATAATTGTGGATTTTTCTATTTCCTTACTCAGTGATGTTGGTGTTTACTTCATGTATTTTGATACTCTAATATGAAGCCTATAAATCAACTTAAAAATTACAATTTAACACTGTGTAAGCAAAAAGTACAAAAGGATGATAGATAAAGACCTGCTGAGTATCAAAGAAGATATATATACCTGTTTTTACTTTTGGGAAGTAAAATGAAAGGGCAAAAAAGGGAATATAAAAACATGTAGTTTACAAATGCTAAGGAAGACTGCTTACATACTTTTAAAATAGGTGTTGGTAGGCAGCAACACTGTATTCAGTCTATTGTATACATTAATGCATACTTGTGACAGCTGTTTCTCCTCTCTTCCCTCATTTTTCCTTCTCCCTCCATCCAAATTACTTCATCTTCCCAATAAACTAACTATACTCAAGTCTTTGTCCAGCCTTCACCCAAGATAACAGGTACCAATAGATTAGCTGTTGAACATTCCTTTAGATCAGTTAAAACAAAAAACAGTTTTAGTTGACATCATCTTTCTCCAAAGTCCTTCCACCCAACAGTCTAACGATCTTTCCCTTCTTCTGCCCCCTCACGTTCTTCTACTCTTTGATAGCACCTATCTCACTGAAAAATATTTGCTGTGCTTCTATCAGCCTACAGACTGTGATCTTAGAAAGATCAATTCCATACCCAGCCCGTCACATAACTTCATGGCTGGCACACCGACAACACTCAACTAAACACTCTACTAAATTAAACTTAATCATTTATTAGTATTTGCTTCATTTAATTCTCAAAACAAGGTTCTAAGCTAGGCAGTGAAAACCTGAGTACAGGATTGCAAAATCCATGCCTACGGAACTGTACCTAATTCTTCATACCTTAGTGCAACACATGATGCCGTAAGTGGCCTTCTTCGCAGATTGCTTCTATTCGGAGAAAAACTGAAGCATGAAGGACTGTCTGTATTCGTAGGCACACAACAAGCAAGGGAAGATTTTCCAGAAGCAGGACAAGCTGAAGGCAAGAGATGGAAACAAGCACAGTCTTTGCAAGTGAGGCTCCATTTATATGAATTTAAGAATTTTAATATATTCAGATTACAGATTTGTTTTGGTTTGAATTAGGAGTCACTGGAGGTTTCAGAGGCTCTCAAGTGAAGTAGGGGGTAAGGCACTTGACTGCTAACCAGAAGGTTGGTGGTTCAAACCCATCAGCTACTCCACAGAAGGAAGATGAAGCAATCCACCTCCAGAAAGATTTACAGCCTTGAAAACCCAGTGGGGGTCACTATGAGTCAGAGTCAACTTGATGGCAATATTTTTGGGGGGTGTTGTGAGGTTTCAGAGCAAAATACTTATGTGACACTAGCTAAAGAACATGAGATTGCAAAGGCAAAGGGTTTGAATCCTGAACCTACCATTTACTAGGTGTCTTATACAGGAAAGTTACTAAATGTGTCTAAACCACAGCTTCCTTGTCTAGAAAACCATCTTACCCTCCTTGCAAAAGAATTACTAGTGCAGAGACCACAGACAAACTGGCACATTGCAAGCACTTGTTAAATTTTCAACTTCTAGTCTGGCAATGACAATTTTGATGGATTAAAATGAAGACAAGGTAAGAATCAGAGTCCAGTAGTAACAAATGACATTATCTCATGAAAAATGATGGACTGCCAATGGGACTGAGAGGAAGATATCCTCCTCTTTGAGGAGCCCTCTCAGCTAGTGATGAAATGGCTGTAAGTCAAGGGTTTCAAGGCTGGGTTCCCAGGGTCCTGATTTTCTCAGAGTGAGGCTGGCAGAGGTGCAGTGTTGGGGAAAGTGATGTGCTTCATTTTAAACTTGTGGAATATGCACACACAAGAGGCAATAATCAGTGGGAATTGGTGTTAGGCTAAGGGGCTTTCTCGAAAGTTATGAGACTGATTTACTTTAAGGAAAAAGCACATTACTGTGAAGTTCAAAAGGCAGTCAGTAAAACCACAAACAAGTATGAGGAAGTACAAGAGGGAACCCTCACACCAATGCTCCTTCTGTTCCATCCTGTGACAAATGGAATCCAACACTGAGTTTTCAAGAACCGTCTATCCAGTGTATCGCGTGTATCTAAATACAAATACACTTATGTTTCCTAAGTGAATAAATACAGAGAAAGCCAGCTCATCTGGAGCCACTGACAACGGACTCGGACCAGCTTCTCAGAAACTAGTTCACTCTCCTGAAGAGAAGCTCAGCCTCCCAGCTGCTAAAGGCGTCAAGCCATTGCTGACATGCTCTATGAAGTAGGTATGTGCATACAACCAACTTGATAGGGATGATTCACTTCAAAAATCTAAATTAAAAATCCCAACGCCAGTTCATACACATGTACACATGTAAGCAGAGAAAACAGTCAGTCAATTTCATTACTAATGGAACTTCCAGTGGGCTGTCTGCTAACACAGAAAGTGGCGTGACTTTAAGATAGCAAGAACAACTGTGTATTAGTTTACTGTGGTCATCAGGGACTGAAAAGGTAAGCCTTACTGGGCACAAAGGGTCTTCTGTGTATGCGACAGAATCTAGGCAACAGCACTATTAACACCGATGTTATCTGCTCCACTACTGAGAAGAGACGATAAAATTCATTGTCCAGAATTAGGCACAGTAGGAAAAACATTACAATCATTATTTTTAAACACAAAAGAAAGGCATGTTTGAAATACCAACATCAGCAAATTTACTCCACACATGGAATAAAGGCACTATTTCTTTTTACTTTAATATGCAAATTTAGGCCGGTACCCACAGCATCACCTCTACTAAAGCTTTTCATTTATCTATACGATCTTTAAGACAAAGTTAACGAATCACAAGTACATACACAGGTGTGTATTTCATGTCTGTTCATCTTTGGCACATTTGTCAAGGTGGAGAATCTCGAAAGACAAAAAAATTGTATAATCACTGTTTGCACATTTTTGTACTCATCTTTACATCAAAATATAAGGCCGCAAAAAGGCAAGCTGAAATTTCAGGATATATGGAATCGTTTTAATAAAGGGTTTTACATACAGTACCTTACATATAGAACAGTGTGTTTGCAAATTTAAATAATATCTGAATGTACAGTGGCATGTATTCTTATCAAAGATAAATTCAAGTTCACTGTCTATCAGTTCTAGAATGCATTTATACAGATCGTAAGAACTGATAAACAGAATGAGGCATAAAATATTCAAGTGTTATATGTCATCAAATAGCCTCCTCTTAACAGTCTTTTTCCCCTTTTTAAAAAAATTTCAAAACCTGTACATACATTTTTAATTTTTAAAAACGGTCTATTAAAAGGTAACATTTCATGTTAACCACCGACTCTCATAGTCTATAGTAATAAAACTAGGTATGTGTAGATATAAATATGCGCGGACTATGTACATATGTACGCCGAGCGCTTGTCTGAAACAAGCATACCCACCTACGCAGACCTGCGTACGAGCACTGGGGCACAGTCATGTGAGCACTGGCAGCCGTAGGACTGGCAGGACCAAGGCTCAAGATCCAGCAAGAGCTAACGTGGCAACTTAGTTGCCTTTGGTTTCAGAAATATGTCCATTTGTGACTGAAGCTAAAGGTTTTGAGTGTGCGTGTATTTTTTAAAAATAAAATTCATCTTCACAAATGAAGCTTTTCCAGTATTCCACTATAAGCAGTTAAAAAACCCACAGCCACAAGTGATTCTGGTATTGTCGTCACTCCTCATCCCAGCTGAGGTTGACTGCATTGTCTGAAGGCAAACACCACACCTACTCAGGATCGAGCTGTATGCTGAAGCCTGAACACTGCAATTCAGGATGCATAGATGTATACATACACACATATATACACATGTATGTGTACGTATGCATGTATTATATATATATATATGCATTTCTGATGGACTGATGGACCTATGTGAGACTTAGGGGTGGCAGAACTCCCCTGAGACTTAAGATTCTCTTTCCAGCAGTATCACTATTTGGCACGTGTGAGCCTTCTAGAAGCCATTTTTTTCTTAATGAGCTTAATGACTATGTAAGTTCTAATTATTTGGTGTTTGTTTTTAAATTTACTCATAATGAAGTAAGACTTCCACAATTGTGTTCCCTGGAAGTGAGGCTTCTACTGTCAGTTTTCTGATTAAGGACATTCATCAGCCAAGACACAGCACATGATCCTATCAAAGTTTCAAGATCCTTAACTTCTGTGCAGCAGGATCAATTGCAGAGACAACTTCTTATAGCAACCTTGAAGAACTCTCCAGAACTCTTACTTCCTCTACAGTTTTGTTTTTGGCCAAGTGCTGGTTTATAAATGTGAATCTTTCTACAAAAAGCTATATAAATACACCCTACTTCCTCCTACAGATATCTCAAGCATCATGTAAGCAAATCCGGCCAATGCAATTTCTTCATATAGATCATACTCTACCCCACTGATCCTGGCAGGTAACATTATTATCTGCAGCTCTGCTCATGGGATTCTTGTCTTAGATTAGATTCTTGATAAAGTTGTTCTTCATGTTCCTTTCCAAGCTGCCATCCTATTGATATCACAAATCAGTAAATGACCAGACATTACGAAGCTTTTTAACGATCCACTTAGCAGTCATGTGGATAATAAGAACGATTTGACAGAGGAGCCATGTTCCTTTCGTTGAGTTTCACTGTTGTCATACAGAGCACAGGGTTGCTATTTGCTGTACTTTGCCCATGTCAATTAGTAGCTGTTTTATGTGGCGTTTCAGCTGTGGCAGTCTTGCGAGAGGATCTGGCGGCTCCAACTCCCCTGTGAAATCAAGCCAGCTCTCTAGAACTAGAACAAAGAAGAGAATAAACATTTAAATGAGAACTGCAACACCAGTCACAAAATGATCTAAGTGGAAGGCTGATAGAGTGGTGGAGACCCAATTCACCTTCCTGTCTCTAGAAGGCCAGCAGTCATAGCCATTCCTGGAGGTTCAGCATCCTTTCTATTATGCCCTAAAGCGTTCCAGTCACTTTTGGTAACTTTGATCTGTCAGATACTAACCTCTCCTTTATACAGATAAACTCACTTTATTCTGAATGCCCCTCCACCCTGGAATGGGAAACAACAGCTCCCTGCGCCTGCTCAAGAGTTCTATTAGACAAAACTGGCTCTACTTTACGTTAAATGATACTTAGCTGCTCGTTTTTTTTAATCTAGAAGTTCTTTTTAACTTAACTTTTAAAGGAAAGGAGGCAGCCATTTCTCAATGTCATTTTCAGTTTCACTGTTTTATCATTCTCATGAGAAAGGAGGGCACACTAAAATTCTATGTAGAACGCAGTTAATTATGCTCTACACTTTTACAAGTGCTTCCCTTTGAAATCCACGCTAACAAGAGGACGTAGTCAGGTTGCATTTCTTTTCTTCAAAAATCTACTCAAAACATTAAACTAATCTCCTGTTAGCTATAACTAAATGGGAGACACTTCTGCAGTGGATTACCACGTCCTCTTTTCTCTTGTCTATGGATATCAGGGGAAAAGCAGGAGGAGGTCTCCCTTATCGAAGCAGAGAGGCACCACCACCTGCTTCTGCAGAAACAGAGAGTGAGCGAGCAAGCAAGCATACAGTCTGAGATTAGGAGGAAAGATAGGCGCCAGAAGAGCATAAGAAGAACCCCACATTAGAAATCATTTACTCAACTTTCTCTACTATAAAATGGGAGTATCTTTTCAGGTCACTTTTCAGGGATCCCGTATGATGGTAAAATTAAAAAACATAAAACCATTTGAAAAATTCTATGCAACAGGAGGTCCCAGATAGAATGGGAGAAAAATGTGGAACAAAACCAGAATCATAGAAAAAATACCAGACTTACTGGCTGTATACAGACTGGTGGAACCCCCAAGAGTATGGCCCTTCGATACCCTTCAAGCCTGGAACTCAACTCACCCTTCAAGCCTGGCTCAACTTTTAGTCAAATGACGGACAAACCCATAAGGTGAGCAATAGTATCAGAGGGGTACACACTCCTCAGAAGAACCAACCATATGTGATCAGAAGGGCAGCATCTGCCCAGGGATAAAGCTGAGAAGGCAGGCAGGGATAGGGAAAAAGGGATGAAGGGAAATGGTAACCACAGGGAGGGGGTGAAAAGTGTGCTGTTATATTGTGGGGACTGCAATCAATGTCACACACAAATGTGTATGAATTGTTGAATGGAAAATCAATTTGCTGCAAACTTTCACCCAAATCACAATTTAAAAAAAGAAAAAAGGAAAGAAAAAAAAAAAAAACTTTATGCAAATTTAAGGTCAACCTAACTTAAACTGGTAGTCTTTCTGTTTATTTCACTCAAATACTGACCAAAGTGAAAATGAATATTCAAAATGCTTTTTCTCCCATATTTGGAATATGCTTAAAGTCCTTATACAGAATTCCAAAGAAAACAAAGTTCAATAATACTAAATTTAAACTGGTGTTTAATAATAGCTACCTTAAACAATTTCAAAAAGCCTGCAAGAATACAGTCACACTGTCATGAGACTAAAAATACCCGAGCCACCTGTGTTCACTACAATGGAAAGGGGCAATGAAGACCCATCACCACGGAGGAGCCATCACCACAAGGCCTCTGACACCATGCAGCATCCCTCCCTCTCATCCCGTAATTTAAAATGACTTCTCCATGAGGACACCAAACACACTATAATCGTTGCATTTTCACTTCTTTCTTAACCTACCATCAACTTCTTTTTCAATTAGGTCCATCCTGCTGGTAACCTCATTCTGCACGTTTTCGATGTGTGTGAGGAGATTGAGCTGCCACTGAAGATGGGAGTCTCCGGGGTCTGTGGAGCCCTTTCTATCACTATAAATAAATCCCGTACTCCCTTCAGCTGGCTTCTTCTCCAAAGGACCATTGGAAAAAACATAGAAAGAGTTGGAGAAATGCAAGTCATAAAGGGAAGGAAACATGAGAAACCTCATCACCCACAATGATCAGGGAAATCCAACTTTAAAAATGGCACCTAACAACAGTTGATTGGAATGGACCATTGACTATGATGTCATTAAATCAATGAGGTGAAGGAGGAAAACCATCAATCTTTAAAAATCTTCAAAAGTGCAAACTGCTTAATACACACAAAAAAACAAAATCTGAATTTGCATTTGTCAGAGATAAGTAATTTCCTAAAAGGGATATTAATTTGACACAGTAATTTGCTGCGTATTTCATGAAATATGTTGTTGGTGGTGTTAGGTGCCATCCAGTTGGCTCCAACTCATATCAACCCTATGAACAACAGAACCAAACACTGCCCAGTCCGGCACCAGCCTCACAATCCTTGCGGTACCTGAGCCCACTGCTGCAGCCACTGTGTCAATCCATCTCATTGAGGGTCTTTCCCTTTTTTGCTGATCCTCCACTTTACCAAGCATGATATCCGTCTCCAGAGAACAGTCCCTTCTGACAATATGACCAAAGCAGGTGAGACAAAGTCCGGCCATTCCTGCTTCCGAGGAGCATTCCAGCTGCACTTCTACCAGGACAGGGTTGTTAGTTCTTCTGGCAGTCCACGGTACTTTCACTATTCTTCGCCAACACCACAACTCAAAAGCATCAACTCTTCTTCAGTCTTCCTTATTAACTGTCCGGCTTTCACATGCATATGAAGCTACTGAAAATACTATGGCTTAGGTTAGGCACACCTTAGTCTTCAAAGTGACATCTTTGCTCTTTAGTACTTTAAGCTCTTTTGCAGCAGATTTGGCACTGTACAACATCTGATTTCATGACTGTTGCTTCTGCTGATGTTGATTGTGGAATCAAGTTAACAGGAAATCTTGGACAACTTCAACATTTTCTCCATTTCTCATGAGGCTGCTTATTGGTACAGTTGTGAGGATTTTTATTTTATGTTGAAGTGCAATCCATACTGCAGACTGCAGTCTTTAATCCTCATCAGTAAGTGCTTCACTTTCAGCAAGCAAGGTTGTATCACCTGTATATGGCAGGTTGTTAATGAGTCTTCCTCCAATCCTGATGCCGTTCTTCTTTATACAGTCTGGCTTCTCGGATTATTTGCTCAGCATAGAGACTGAGTAAGTATGGTGGAAGGATACAACCGTGACGCACTCCTTTTCTGATTTTAAACCATGCAGTATCCCCTTGTTCTGTTTGAACAACAGTCTCCTAGTCTATGTACAGGTTCCTTACAAGCACATCTCAAATTCAATTAAGTATTTATTTACTGTGGTTAGCTGATAAGGAGGTCAGGAAACGAAAGCCCTCATTATACAGTGGAACTGTGAATTGAGTCAATAAAAAAAGGAGAGAGCACAGAGTCTCTAAGAGAATCCAAGTGAGTAGAAAATAAACTCCTCAATATTCAACATACATGGAGCTGTTAAGAAATCAGCTTACTGAATAATGGCAATGATAAACATTTATAAATACTGCTAAAATCAGAACACTAACAGAGTGTCTTTGACCTAAAACACATAAAAAAACAAAGACAAATTGTATCGAAATAGAAAATGCACTTTCATTTTCTCACACAGAGAAACTTCTACTTGGAATAAAATGTGACTTACTTTTTTGAGGCATGTTTAAGAATACTTATGAAATTGGAATTTTTATTAGGATGAAAAGTTTACTGAATTACTATGGTTCTGAGTTAGGAGACAACTAAGTGTTCAAATGGTAAGTGTTTTCTCATATAGAAATTAAAAAATGTCTTTACTCTTGACCCCAAAGACACTTGTGAACTTGGAAACATATGTAAAACCTGGAAATTCATTGTGTTTTATAAAGCTTTCCTTTGTTGCTCTGTCATATTTTTCCAAGCAAAGATAAGGGAACCAGTTTTACCTTCTCTGACACTCCATCCACCTTTCCTGAGAACTGTAAGCGGCTCTTCTCCCTCATATGGAATCCCTGCTCTTCCTCAAAGCTGCTGACCTCGTCATCATCCGAGCTCTCAGGCTCTGGCAGAGGCCTGCGGTCCTGACTGAAGCTCTGCGGCTTCTGGTAGCTGTGCTCACTTGTGATGTAAGTGCCTTCCGTCCAAGGGGGCAAACGGGCGGGCTCCCTATGGTTCTGAGCATGGCAAGTCTTTTCTTCTAGATGAAGCATGCCTTGCACTGTCAGTTTTTTCTCCATCCCAGCAATTCCTTGATCTTGGTCTTTTCGCTTCCCAGAACAAGCCCAGAGATGAAGGTCAGGATGATGTTTATTCCTGAAAACAATGTTGGGGAAACAGCAGTTCTGAATATAAAATCCAGTAGCAAGTTCAATACCATAATAAAATCCAGAATGTAAAATCATACACAGCTGCCTCTTGAGTACTCATGACTTTGTGTGCTTGGGGTACCAGGCTCAGGTTGGCTTCTCACCAACTCTACTGAAGACCAGTACTGCCCACAAGGAAGCTAGGTTAGGAAGAAGTCAGGGGCTCAAATAGAAGCTATTCTGTAGCTTAACCTGCCCCAGTATTTCATCTGAAATCCGGAATCTCACAATTTTAAAGATAGGAAGGAAAAATGAACTTAATTATGTTGACAATTTACATCATTACATTTTTACTTCTTTTTGGACTCTGTACTGATTGTTTGTTTCATTTCGTTTCTTTTAAATTTTAAGATGTGAAAAGACTTTTTAAGTGAGCATATTTTAAAACCTTTATTCAATCATAACAGGATACTTACTCACGAGAAAAAGTCAGACTATAAAACTGTATAAAATAAAAAGTTTCCCCGTGGTTTTCACAAACCACCAAGGTCTAATCCTGCAGACTTCTCCTATGCATACAAAATCATTTTTAAAATAGATAATCACATACCTTTTACACACACAGGGCTTGAACTAGATACAATTTGCCTTTTTTGTATGTAACATGTTACAGGCATCTTGCCATGCCGGGCACACAGCTCTCCCTTACTGTTATTCTAATGGCTGAATAGCATCAATGTGTCACAGTCTAGTCTAGCCAACCAATTCCCACTGATGGACATGTGTACACATGTGTGTGTGTGTGTGTGTGTGTGTGTGTGTGTGTGTGTGAGCACACAGTGGGAAGATGCCAGTCAGATACATGTCTAGATGTGGAAGTGCTGGGTAACATATGCACATTTTCATTCCAATAGGCACTGTCCAAGTGAGCTCCAAAGAGCAGTACTAATGACATTCCCATCAACAATGTCTGATAATACCCATTTTGCCCATCTTCACTAATATGTGGCAGTGATTACAATTGCAGAAACTAAAACAGGAGTGCATTCATGAGAGCTGAAGTGAAAAAGAGGGCATTCAGGAGGCATGTACCTTTCAAAAGGCTCATGATGTTTGTGAATTTAACATTTTCCAAATTAGATAAATAACAGCAGTCAAATTTTTCTTCAATACCCAACTACTGTTTCTAAAATGAAAAATTTTATCCTCTGGGTCCCTAATAAGGTCGTATCTAGAAAATACTGAAATTCTCAAACAGTAAAAGGCATAGTGGAAAGAACACTGAACCTGTAGTGTCATCATCCCTGGGGTGACTCTTGTCACTGAGTCTGTCAGGTGACAGACTCTGTCTTTGATACTCATCTACCAAATGAGGTAAGATCCAGTTATCAGGCTGACTGTAAGGACTAAATGAAATACCATATGGAAGTACCAAACAATTTCTGCCATGTAGTCAGCTTTCAATAAAACTATATAATGATGTAATCACTATCACTACTAGTTATCAACATGAAGAGATTGCAGCAGTGAAGGCAGTAAGGGTCCAGTTAAAGTTCTTAGCAAAATTAGGAATGCAAAGAAAGTCATAGATACCAAGAAGGCAAATCAGGTTTGAAACAAAAAGGTCTAATAAGCTAACCCCTCTTTATGAAGAAATCCATATACATGTCTACATGGACACAGAACAGAGGTGAATTGCATTCAACAAACATTTACCGAATACACAGGTTGTGGTACTCACTCCACTAAGCACTAGGGATTAAATGATGGATAAGATACAAGCTCAAACTTAAAGGAACTTGGCTAAGTAAGGGAGACACATGAACACAATACACACACCAAAGTGCATGAAACAACTAGTCAGCCTGGTTTCACCAAAAGGGACACTGTGGTGGTTAAGTTTGTGTGTCAACTTGTCTGGGCCTGGTTGAGTGGCTGGGCAGCTGGTAGTTATTCCCCATGATGAGACTGGTAATCAACTCCATGGTGGGATCCACCACAAGCAGCTAAGTAGCTGCTTTAGGGATGCGATTTGCTTCCCGTATATAAGTAGCAGCTTTGGGAACAGTCTCTAGCTTATGGTACACTTGAACTCTGCATGTAGCCATCTCATCGTTCAGCAGCTTGCCATGCTCTGCCAACCTTGGGACTTCAATGGACTTAAATTAATGGCCTGCTATGTGGTTTGGAAACATCAGGACTGTGCCTTTTTACTTGTCAACCTTGGGTATGTCAGTCTCAGCAGCCAGCAGCTATTTGAGTGAAGGAAAGCCTCTAGCTCCAGTGGGCTGGGAGCAGGAGGCAGAGCTGAATCCCAAGGCTGAAGGGCTTTCATCCAGCCCCTAGAGCCTGGCACAATGAATTTGGAATTAAAGCCTCCAAATTTTAAGAATAAACTCCTGACTGTTCAAGCCATCCCATTTGTTGTATATTTCCTGTCAGAGTGGCACTAGGGAACCAGAACAGACACCATCAACAGCAGTTGGGCAGACAGTCATGAAAAGACCTCTGCAAGAGGGAACAGTGGTGGCAGGTTATTCTGAGTAAGAGTAAAGGCCTGGAGTTATGAAAGCACATGCTTCTTTCAGAGAGTCTAAGTGGCTTGGCCAAGCTGGAGTGGCTGAAGGTGGAAATGAGAAGTGGGAACAGGAGTTATGGCAGTAAGACAGTACACTTGGAAGGCCTGAGTGTTCACTGAAGAGTTCAGACTTTATTCACTGGACAGTGGGAAGACACTGTAAGATACTAAGCTGACTTTTATTAAGTTCATGCTGGAAACAATATAAAGAATGAAGATTGAAGAGACAAAAAATTAAAAAGGTATTATAATTTTTCATGTGAAAATAAACAGCTCAAACCAAGACAATGCCAGTGAGAAGAAAAAGGCAGGAATAGACGAACATGCTAAGGAATTACAATGGACAGGACCAATTGGTTACCAACTCATTGGGGAAGATACAGGGATTGAGATCGAAGGATGAGAAGGCGCAAGTTGCTGGCTCAGGCAAGTGAGTCAAAAGGAAGAAAACATTGGAAGAACCAGTTAATTCTGTTTCCACATAAAAAAAAAAAAAAAAAAGTTTGTTTTTTAAAGAATAATTCTAGCCAGGCATTAGAAAGAACTAAACACAACTTTTAAGAACATTCTGATGTATTATTTAGGGAGGGTCAGGGAAAGTGTCTGAAACAGCAGAGTGATGAACTATATGACCTGTCAGCTCCCATCATACCTCAGAAATCAAGTGTAACATGATTACCACTGCACACACCTGGCTAGAATTTAATGGCCTTCACAGCACTGCTGACGGACACAAAATGCAGGTTCACCACAGCGACCGTTTACTGGGAGCACATGGTGAGCACCCAAGGCAGCGGGGCAGGGCCTCAACTGTGCTGCAATATCAGATGCCGTGTCCCCCAGCCACACCCACTTACTCCAAGACAACAGCACAAGGCACCTGTTCATCTTAAAAAGCACTGCATCTTTCCTTTTTTCAAAAAAATTAAACTTTATTCAAAAAGAGGTATTCTCTGTTGTCCAAAGTGCTAATCTGAACCTTTAGAAGGCAAACTAAAACTAACTTAGTTTTAATTAAATTTACACAAGTGTGACTCTTGGCTTACTTTAGTATTCCGATCTTCAGCTGCAAGCCGTGCAGTACTTCCGTCACACCATAGACATCAGCAAGCAGGTGATGGGTGGAAACGATCTTTTTGGCATTGAGATGAGAGTAATTTTCTTTTAAAAATGGCAGCCCACACATTCTCCCATTATTCAGCCAGTCTTTATCACAACGGTATTTTGCACTCCACCTCTGCCCTGTAGATGAAGTTGACACAAACGCTGTAAAGGACTCTACTCACTCAGATTTCCCTCCAACTTCTACTCTACGAATGTGACTAAGTATTAAGAACAGATTCAAAAGAAGTCTAAGAGATGAGATGTACAGAGGAGCCAGTGCTTCATGAGCTTATCCGCCTTCAGAGTCTGCCAATGAGAACAAACACCATGAAGGATGTGGCTGGTGGGAATAGCATTTGCCAAAGGATCCCAGAATGCCCTGCTTCCCACATTTCTTTATCAAGCATCTGTCCTCAGAAGACGCTGAGGGGACTGGACAAAATTGGACTGGGTCTTGGACCTCTCACTAACCTTGCTTTAGACTGAATGAAACGAAATGCCTGGTGAATGACTAGGGCCCCTCCCTGAGGTCTGTGAACACAGAATCCTATGTAACTACATGTTAATACTAATTATGTCCCATGACTATTAGTGGCTTTTGTGTCTGTGTCTTCTACTAACTATACTATGAGATAGCTGAAGGCAAAGTCTCAGTCAATCATCTTACTACCAAACCAGAGTCAATGCCATCAAATGATTCCGACTCAAAGCAACCCTATAGGACAGAACAGAACTGCCCCATCGTTTCCAAGGCTGTTATCGTTACGGAAGCAGACTGCCACATCTTTCTTCCGCCATCTTGCCACAGTGTTCAGCACAAAGCAGGCATTCAATAAATCCTGATGAATGAATGAACAAATGTCTATATTCATATGATTCAAATCAATTTTTTGTGTGTGTGTGTCTTACTGTGCCTTTTTTGGGGATAGGTATGGGAACAATTCACTAGCCTTTCATTTGAAAATACCTATCCTGTTTGTGGAAATAGCCATTTTCTGCACAGAAGCTACAGGCACATGGTATGCAGAACTTGCTACTTGAAGCACCTCTACCACAGAGGATGGCACTAAGTGGACCACTAAAGTGGACAAGGGAGAAAAGACATCAGGACATGTCTTCACCGCAGGGCTGCCATGTCTCATGCTATCATTCTGCACAAGGCATGCAACTCTGTATGCCCTGGCCACCTCCTCAGCAGAACAAAGGGATTCAGTGAGAAGATTTCAAATCTCATCCTGCTCTGCCATCAGTTTATATGCAGCACTACCAAAGCTGTCCAACACCTTCCCAAGAGGAGTCCAAGCTCAGAAGAGGCCCACTCCAGTTGCCATGGATACACCTGGCTAGAAAGCAATGCACAGGGACATGCTTTTGTTGCTGGGTGCCATCAAGCTGACTGCAACCCAGCATGACCCACGGTGACAGGGAACTGACCCCGAGGTAGACAAAGGGGCTGATTCTTCTCCAGGAAAAAACCATCACGTGGCCCTTCCAGTGAGGTAGTCATTGTGTTCTTAACTTATTCCAATGTTCTTATGTAACTAATATGGGAAACAAAGCTATAACAAACAGTGAAGGAAAAAAGCCTTCATACGGCAGCAGAGTTAGGCTGACAAAGACGTTCCAGCATCGTATACAGCTGACCCAGCACAGGCTGCCTGGCTGCCTGTGCATGCTGCGGTCAGCGGTGGGAAAGCCTTACCAGGGGGGTCTCTGCAAACGTAGCAGATGTACCGCTCCGGAATGCTGTCCTCCAGCAGCCCCATGCACACGCTGTGCTGCCAGCACAGGCACTCTTCACACTGCCGGGAGACAGGGGCTCACGTCACCACGTTTACTCACCACACCTCCAGGGAGTCTCTTCCTCTCAGTGAGCTGGTTTGCTCTCTGGCTGCTGCCACCAGTTCAATTCTCTTGACAAAAGTGAGCCACAATTTAAGATAAGTTTTATCTTTGAAAGAGTCAACTATTTCAAGAACTTACTTTTGCTGCATCTATGAAAATGTGTTTGGATTAATTACTTCAATCGTTTAAAAGTCCTAATTCCCCCCAATTCGTTCCCATGGATATTTAAGTAATCACAGCCTTAAAACTTTTAGAACAGCTCATTAAAGTGCAGAAGTTTAAAAAAGAAAAAAGAGGGAGCTGCAGAGCCTGCAGCCGTGGCCTCGTAACACACTACCTCTGGGGGAGCTTAGGGTTAGTTCCCTGGCTTGAGAAAAACTGAAAAAGGGAAGGAGAGACCAGGGCTTTACTCTTTGGTTCACTGCTATCACCAACGTCTCCAAAGTCTCCATGTCACCACAAAACACGGGGTACGTCCTCTTTTCTTAAAGATATCCTTCCTCCAGTGAGAAGTTATTAGCAGTGGTTAACTTCCAGCAACAAAGTTTTCCTTTAATCTAGGAGAACACTGGGAACTTCCCATTTCTTCTTATTAAACGGTGACTATATATAATGTAAAAGGAGCCTTAGTGGCACAGTGATTAAAGCACTTAGCTGCTAACTGAAAGGTCCACAGGAGAAAGATGAGGCAGTATGCTTCCATAAAGATTACAGCCTTGGAAACTCTACAGGGCAGTTCTATTCTGTCTTACAGGGTTGCTATGAGTCAGAATTCACTCGTCAGCAACAGATTTGGGTTTATATAAAGTAAAGTATTAAACAAGATGGATCAAGACCAGTCATGATAAGAAACATGATTATGGCCTACATTTCAGTTTATTATTATTATT